ATTCTCTTAATGAATAGAATGATTTGTTCTAATGGTGTTTGTAAATAGGATCTCAAGTCCGCATCTTGTACAGCAATTAACCTCTAAGAAGAATATATGCAGTGTATTATTTGTTGAAAAATTAAAAAAAAAAAGTAGATGTCCATTAATCTTCACACATTGAGACTTGTTATTTTAGGAATTGATATTTAGATAATTTAGGCAAGTGAAAGTCTTCATTTTATGAACAATGAAATAGATACTCAAAGAACCTAAATAATGAGACCCTTATCCCTGGTGCACCTTACTTGATAATTGATTTGCTATATTTCTAGTTAATGAGTACAGCCTTTGAATTTTTTCATATATGTTTACTATTCTGCCTTCCTTGTAGTTGTGATATTTTACTTTATCTTGATTTTATACAGCCCCATGAAATTATCAAAACACTTTGTAACCTTTTTAAACCAGTCATTTTCATTTGAAATTTCTTATTTTACTTCACATCTTGATATATTACTCTCCAAAGATAAGTAAGATAATGCTTTGTATTTTCTAAGGTTTATTTTTGAGAAATCAAGCTCTTATCTATCCATAGTTTATGGTATTGGCTGAGACGGATCTGTTACAGTTTTCCATTGGGTTATTTCAACACCATTTATTAAATAAAGTTTTCATTCTTCATTGCTTTACATGGAATATTTTTTTATTTTCCTTTTTTATTTATCCAAACCCATTTTTTTAAAAGTTAATTTTAGACACCAGGGCTTCAGAAAAGTTTTGCTAACATCTGATATCCATCCATTCCCTGTCCCTAGTTGGAAATAAACTTACTCTTTTTCATTTTTGGTACTGGGAATTGAAATCGGGCCTTGTGCTTGGCGGGCAGGAACTGTACCACTGAACGAGGTCCCCACTCCTACTCTTCTTGTCATAGCACTTTATGTAGATGTTTCTTATGAGAGATTTTTTTCTTGAACTTTTAAAAATATCTTTTTGAGGCAGGGTCTTGCTGTGCATTTCAGGCTGGTGTTTGACTCAGTTTGGAACCCAGGCTGGTCTCATTGTAATGATTGTCCTGCTTTTAGCCTCCCAAGCGCTGGGATTATAGGCACGTGCCACCACGCCGGCTCCTTGAACATTTAAATTGCCATAATAAATTACACTAGACACTTCTGGAGTACAGGATCTTTTCATCATGACATCTGCTAGGGTATCTTCTTTGTTACTAGGTATGTGGTAAACTCTGATAAATGGTATGTGTGTGTTTCTGCTTCCATGCAGTTGTACTCTTTGGTTCTTCTCTTCTCTTACCTTACTGTAGATTTGTGCCAGTTCCACATTATTTTAATTGTTAATGAAAAGACTGGTTCTTCTCATCTGTTCTTTTGCTTTTCAAAAAAGTCTCAGTCTTGCATGTTTCTTTTTCCCAAATGAATATAATATACTTTTTCAAGTTCTTAAATTAACATTTTATCATTTTTGTTGGAATTTGATACTGTTGTGCTTTTATAATAGTTATTTTCTGATCTGGCAGTCTGATCAGTTAGCTTATTAATTCAAGAGCTCTTTTCTTTTCCTAAAACACTTTTAAATATTGTTTTGTGTATGTCAAGGAGATATTAAACAATTTGAATTTGGGTAGATTTTATCACATAGCCAATGAAGGAGTGATACATCTTATGTTGCAAAACCAGTTAGATTTATGTACCATCACTTGAAATACTGCACAGCTCTAAGCACAGCTCTAGAGCAACAGAATGCTCTAAAGTCACAGCTTTTATGTCTTTGCTAGAAGCAAAAACATTTAACAAATAACTTGAAAAACTGCCAGATCTATAGATTTTAAGTGCTGCCTGGTGAATTGTTTATGACTTGGCATTTCTGTGGGTAACTATAATTACACGTTTTTTAAAACTAGGTTTTAGCTTATTAGGATAAATTGAATTCTCCCCATGATTTTATGCAGATGGCAGTAGTTTACCCCTGTGGCTTATAAAAGTAGCCAGCCAAGCCACTTGTTTAATTCTGGGTGGCTATATGGGACATAAAGAGGTTTTGTCATTGATTATATAAATTAAAAATAAATTATTCTTTCCATTTGAAATAACATTGATTTAAAAAGGGCTTTAGAGGAAATCAGTGGTTAAGCTTTAACCTAAGTAGTTCCCATTCATGCTCTAAGTGATGGAGAAAAGTGATTTGTTAAGATAAATAGCGTAGTCAATTGTAGATACTGAAATTTTAGAGCAAAAGTTTCAGACTGATGATTCATTAACCAAATATGGCCCTTAGGCTGTTTTAATTGAATTGCTGTTTACTGCATTAGTTGTTAACATCCCAGATCTACTGACATGAGTATCTGTAACATTGAAGCAAATGTATTTGTAGCCTGGCATGTCAGTAGCAATTTGGGCAACGCATGCGTGTTTGCCTTAGTTACATTTCTACCTAAGGTGGCTTGGCCAATCCTATACGTACTTAACTTTGCAGTCTGTATTCTACAACTTAAGTACAGAGGGAATAGTAAATCTCATACTGCTAATGGCAGCTGAATCTTGAACTTTTAAGTTAATAGGACATGGTAGCATGAAGACTTTGGGAAGTAAGAGTTTGGATGGAATATGTGAGAAAGGATAGTGGGCAAGGAATCCAGAGTTTTTAACCTGAGAAGCTGGAGAGTAAAATTGTTGTCACCTGAGATGAAAGACTTTGGGTAGATCACATGTAGGGAAAGAAGGTAAATTCAGTTCTACATATGTGAAGTTTGAACATTCCATTGTAGATATTGAGCGAGCAGTAGCTGTGAAAATAGAGTTGGAGAGAAGTATGTAGACTGACATGAAAACTTGAGATATGAAATTGATATTTTAAACCATGAGGCATAATGAGATCACAAAGAAAGCAGCAGACCCATCCTTGCGCTTAGACCATGTCAGTCTTCAGGAATTTGAAGGGACAAAAAGACAATTAATCATACAGTGAGGTAGGACAAAAAGGGAGGGGATATGGTATCCTGGAAAACAAATGTCTTAATCTGGTTTCATACAAGAAGCGGAGCCTGAGACAGACTTTCTTGGAGGCAATTTATTTGAGGACCTGTTAATAAGAAATGCAGTTTGAAAGACTGGGGCAAGTGAAATAGGAAGGAGGGAGGCCAATCCAAGAGTTGTTATTGAACTGGTCATTTCTGTGAGCAGCTGGAGCTTAGTCCTGTGGAAGTTGTCTGAGAAAACAAGAAGGGTGTGCCTTTCAGTGAGGACAAGGGACAGTGTTCAACAAGTTTCACTCCCCCACTGGTCAGGTATTGCCAGTGGTGTTAACATTTCAACTTGTAGGTTAGGTGTGTTGGTTAGAGGAGTATTTTAGGTGTCCTTTACTGCACATCCCAGAGCAGAAGGTGAGTCAGAGAGTACAGCCAAGAAGTGATGCCTCAGGTGGTGTGAAAATAACAGGCAAGCACAAGAGGTCTTTTATGTCAGTTCTCTTCCCTCTCTCACTGAGTGCTCGCCACTATGTCCAGCCTACTATAAAGCCCTTCAAAGTGGTCACAATAGATTTGTACAGAAAACAACAGTTAGTCATCTTTTCAGTTTTCTACTTCCTATTCTAGATCTTTAGCTAGCACTTCAACAGGCTTTTTCTAGCTTAGTGACCCAGGTAGACATTTAAACATTAAGACCTTTAGTTGTCTTTCTTATTTATGGTGTAGTTGCTGCAGATGCCTGTGTAGGAGTTATCACTGGACCTGGTTGTGCCATTTGATTCCCTTGATTCTAGTTATACTCTCATATTTCCTATGTATGCCATCAGCCTTAGGTTCTTTTGGTTGTTAGGGTCAATTCATAGTATAGCTCCTCCCCAACTCCCAGTATGGTTATTAACTTTAGCTTGCTGGTAAGAAGTGAGAAACTAGCAAGCAGTAGATACTACCTCAGAATCATGTGTCTCTTGGCAGAAGTCCTATCTTTTTTCCTCAGAATCAGAATGTCTGAATCAAAGGAGCCTAAATTTTGGTAGTTTTAGTTACATTTGTTGGTTTATTAAAAAAAAAAATAATAATAAGGGGGGAAAAAGCCCAAAAGACACAGAACCACATTTCAGCCTTTAGAAGAGAGGGTACATGTTAAAATGATTTATTCTCTTGGAAGATAGTGCAGTTTCAGATTTTACCCAATACTTTCATACATGGAAATTGTGTGTTAAATTTAGAACTTGAATTATAGATTAAACAATTAGAGAAAGGTGACTATTTAAATTTTTTTCTCTGTTGGAACTATGTTAGTTTAGTGTAGTAGCTGCTGTTACTTAGGTGAAGTTACAAGAAACTCAGTCTAGGATTCTTTTTTCTTTTTTCAGACAGGGTCTCCCTATACAGTTCAGGCTGGCCGTGAATTCACTATGTAGCCCAGGATGGCTTCAGACTTGTAACAGTCCTTTTGTATCAGCTTCCTAAGTATTGGGATTACAGGCTCAGGCTACCACGCCTACCTGAAGATTTTATTTTATCTAAAATTATTTTAGGCCTTGAAGACTAACCCTAGATAGGAGTTTGTAATTAATTTGAGTTTTGCCAAATGGGCTTCTGGGAAATAATAAGTTATCATTATGGGATAAGAATCATTGGTTTTTAAGATATTGATACTACTTGAATTCAAATTTTGGTAATATATAAATCTGTCTCAATAATTTTAGATCCATGCTACAAAAATAAAAAGAAATAAACAGTTTTCCCTCTCATTATACCTTATTTCATAATCTGTGATGAGAACTGACTCTGCATGTGTCAGTGTTTTGAGCATGACATCTAGGTGATCTTATGTATTTTTTTTTTTAGAGCTTAACATAGTTAATTTGGTTAGATCCTCCATAGACAGTTGTTTTTAAAGTTAGATGTAATAACTTGCTTCAAAGTATAACAATGTTTTAGACTTTCCTCTTTTTTCTTTCTTTAAACAGATAGAAGGACAAGGACAGAATCACCAGCACTGGCTGAAGGTAAATACGTCTTTGGGGGAAATGATTATTCAAATATAAATGAAAAATTATTATTTAAACAAAAACCTACATTGGTTAAATATATTTAAGGAAAATATTCTGTGTATTAAACTACTAAAAATATTTAGTAAATACTCTGTTTAGTTTCTGATTTGAATAGGTAGCAAGCAAAATAAATTAATTAATTAGGACTTCTTTTACAGCTTTCTGTCAGTAGGAGAGGTATGTGCTTGTTTTTGAATTCCCTTGTAAGTCATTTTAGTTATCACTAGTATAGTTCATCAGTAATGTCCATGCCTTAATTTTCATAATTTAGTATAATTTCTTCCAGCCTCCATTGGAAGCTAGAAAGGAAGATACATTTATATTTTGCTTTAAATAACAATTCTGTTATTTACTGGCTTTTGTCCTTTTCGAAAAGAATCTTTGAAGTAAATTGTATTTAATAAAAATATAGTTATCAATTAAGCGTCCTAAGTGCTGAAACATTTCTAATTCTATCATTGCTTTTCCTGCAGTTATTTTACTTACAACAAATTAATAGATATTTTAAAATGTAATTTTTGTAATAGATGTACTTTGTGTTTTTTAAGTAAAAATGATCAGTTTTAAAATGCCTTTTTGTGCTCTTATCATAAATTGGACATGTATTTACATTTCAAAACCATCCCATACTTCTGCTGGAGCTGATACGACAGGTGTGACGGTCCTTCAGAATTGTTATTATCTCACCTACTGTGTGTTAACAGTGCAGGAGTCCTTAACTTATTTTTGTGCCATGGACTCTGATAATCTGACAGAGCCTATATATTTTGCCCCAGTGTAATGATTGTAATAGTGATGGATGATTGTATAAAGTAAAATGTATAGAATTAAAAAGGAAATCGGGGGGAGGGGGAGGAAAGGAAAGGAAATCAGGGGCCGGGGAGATGGCTCAGTGGAATAAGTGCTTCCCTGGCAAGTGCAAGGGCCTGAGTTCAATCCCCAGTTCTGCAAAAAAAAAAAAAAAAAAGGAAATCAGACTGAAATGCTGTTAAGAAATACTTAAAGTATAGGTTTATGCTGGCCGTGGTGGTGCACGTGTGCAATCTCAGCATTCTGGAGGCTGAGGCAGGAGGATTGCTATTTGATGCCAGCCTAGGCTACAGTGAGATCCTGACCTTCCCCCAAAACAAGTGTGTGATACAGTAATGTGCTTTTCAGAGTATCGGCCATAGGAACACTATTTGCTATAATTTTATTTTTTTGGCAGAACTGGGGATTGAACTCTGGCCCTTGCGCTTGCCAGGCAAGCGCTTATTCTACTGAGCTATCTCCCTGGCCCATACTATAATTTTAAATAATGATGAATAAATACTTGTAATTTCTATTAATGACAGCTTTATAGATACTTCTTATATTACAGTGATTTGTAGACTGTAATTGCAGTTGAAGAAATCGCTAGCTTTCATATGCAGAAAGGTTCCCATTCAGATTCATAGACAGAACACTGATTGCCTTCAGTGGTTCTGAAATTGAGATTCTCACTTGGTGAAAAGTTGGTTTGACTTCAGTTTCTCCGTTGACTTGGTACATACAATGTTTTGTGCCTGAGCTCAGAGAAAGTTACATATCCATTCCTTTGAAATATCCTAATGCTATAGGCTAGAGGTTTGTGAATAACAGAAGAAGATTCTGATTGCTGGTTAGTAATAATGGGAGCAGCATATTTTGTAGAGAAGGAATACAAAATAGATGTTAAATTTGCAGTCTGATGCTTGTGATCTGAAAGAACAAGAAAATGTAATTTGGAGAAAGTCACCGAGCGTCTTGCAGTTCCTTCAGTAGCATCAGCTATATATAGTAATAATGTGTCAGCCTATACTAGGAAGAACCTGGCTGGAATGGTATCACAAAATTCTGGTGCTGATCTAGTAGCTGGTAACTGACTGGATTTCGGGAATGGCTGTTCAAGTGAAGTTTGGTTGAAAGCACAAGCATCTTTAACATTGGCTTTGAAGGGGGTGTGATAGGGCATTTGATTTGTTTTTGTTGTGATGGTGGTACTTGATTCTTTCAGTGTGATCTGGCCCTGAATTTGTATCTTAGAGATGTTCTTAGAAGCTGTACAGAGCTACCCACCTCAGTGGAGTAAAGCCCAACTTTTTTGCTCATTTGTTGCTTTTGCCTGAGTCACCAGATTTCCTTAGTCTTCAGTTTTTTTTCATGAAGTTCAGGATTTGAACTACTTGATTTCAAATCACTTCACAGTCCTTTGGGTTTTGCTCATGTCTGCTGTCCGTTTTCAATCTCTTCACTTCCCTTCTCCCAGAAACTTTGTGTGTATTGTTAAAAAAGTGAAAGTAACTTAGTAATGAATTTATGCTTACTTAACTGTGCTTCTCTTACATACTGTGTAAACTTTAAAAGCTATAATAACTACAGGAGGATCTCAGTGCTTTCAAAGTCAAGTCAGTACACAATGAGTTACAGACCATCATAAACTACATAGCTTAGTGGAAAAATTCTTTATAATACATGCATACTATGTTCTTAATGGTTCAAAAATTAAGCATATTCCACAATGTTAAGAAAACAACTGGTTTGGAAATCAGCTTTTGTTCTTTTTTAAAAATTCACTTTTTCTTTCTTTGTTTTAGGACAGGGTCTTGCTATGTAGTTTATGATCATCTGTAACTCATTGTGTAGTGAATTGACTTTGAAGGCACTGTGATACTCCTGCCTCAGCCTCCTGAGTGCTGGGGGTATAGGCATGTGCCACCACATCTGAGTCTAATCCCGTTTTTCAATATTATTTAGTTGGTGGCATCAACTCTTGTTATTTGAAAATAATTTGGACCTTACCTTTTTGTTAAAGTATATCCAAAATAACTACTTGTAAATTTTTATTTTCTTCCAGATAGTAATTCTGATTAGTAGAGAGGAAATGTCTTATTTGTAATTTTTGCTTATGTGAGTGTATGTGTATAGTCTGATAGATAAATTTTCTTTAGATTTCACTTTGCTGTCTTTGAAGGCACTCCAATACTTGAGATTTGTTAAGTAGTATGGGGATTTTTCGGTTTGGTTCTGAGAGGTCATTGAGAATTGGATCCAGTGGGAGGAAGTTAACATGTGAATGAATTTTAGCTCAGTACAAGGATTTATGATTCTTAAGGGCCAGATTTATGTTATATTAAGTTTTCATCATTCAGTTGTTGCTGAAGTTTCTAAGTTTTTTTCTAAAGATTTGAAGTCTAAACCTTGAGTCATGCATATATTAAGAGCAGTGGCTTAAAGATTGCTTGGCATTATAGAATAAATTCAGACTAAATTTAAATGGTTGAGCTTGAGGCTTCCCTATTAGCTCGTCTAAGATTTTCTTTTCTTTTTCTTTTTCTTTGACTCATGTTTCATTTTATTGCCAGTCATTCCAAAGAAGAAATTGTATGGCACAGGAGCATGGTAGAGGAAAAGATGCACACACCTGACTGCCAGGAAGCAGAGAGAGAGAAAGAGAGGATTGGGAAGGCAAATACATCCTTCATGGTGACATTCCCAGTGACTTACATCCAGCCAAGCCCTATTTTCTAGTTTAATTTTATTTTATTTTGAAAAATAAAGACAAAAGCAAGAACAAAGAAACAGGGTAACATACAACAATACGTATGTTACAGATTTTCTAATCAAGAATAGCTGATTAATAGTGATTGATTCATTATGTATTATATGATTGCAGATTATCACTTGCTTTCAAGAAACCTTAAATTTTATTCTTGTCCCTTTTTTTCTTTTTACCTTTTATGTATTTATGTATTCATTTATTTTTTGGCGGAACACGGTATTGAACTCAGACCCTTGCACTTGCCAGGGTCTTTGAGCCATCTCCCTGCCCCCCCCCTTTTCTTTACCTTTTTAAAAATACTATTTTAAAGAGTATAGTAATAATTGATATGCCATTAGAAATGGTACACATTTAGAAGACCAGGGTGACAGGTATTCAAGCATAGTTTTTGTATTACACATTGTTGTCCTTGATACAGTTCTTAGATTGCAGATATCAGCATAGAGTTAGTCCAGGTAAAAATTCTACACATTAACTGCTATTTTCAGTTATTTTGAACTGATGGAAATGTTTAATACAATCACCACAGCCATCCTGCATATATGCTTGCATGTTTTTAAAGACAAGATTTTCTTATTCATTGATGTCATTCTAATGTCACAAAGACTTTAAAATTAAGAGACTTCAGTCCATACAGAAAATTAAGGGAGACTTTAATGCCAAGAATACTTTTGGTTTTTAATTCAAATTATGAGAGTAAGGACAGTAGAAGTACATATTTAAGAGCTTAGCTATTTGAGTCCTGTTGAGATAACTGTGAGTAGTATTTAACTCCTGCATGGCAAGTTCTGACAGATTTTCTGTCTGTGGAAGACCTCCTGTTGTATCTTAACAGTAAACATTCACCTGCCAGACTTGCTCTTCTGATTTTCTTAACCTTTGTGGGGGTTATATTTGAATCATCCCTTGATAGGTTGCTGTTCCGTAAGTTTACTCCATAATGTATAAAGTTGCAATTTGTTTTATTTGATCAACGTTTTTCTTTTCATGGGGTATGATTAGGTATTCTCTTTTTAAATGAATAATGCTTGAATTGTTCATTTATTTGATGCTTAGGGATAATGCCTGTGTGATAGAATGTCTTGTAGAGGCTAGAGTTTCAAAGATGAAAAAGACATAGCAATGCAGAGGTTGTTTAGTAGTACAGAATGCATTCATGTAACATTTGTACATTAGATTACAGAATGATTCATATTAAGATGGCAGGTCTACCTCAAAATAATGTACACATTTAGTGCAAAATTAAGCCACAATCCCATCAGGACTTTTTAAAAGAATTTGACAAACACATGGATGAATAAAAGTCCAAAATAGCTAAAGTGATTTTGAAGTATTACTTAAATTATAAGCACTGATCACAAAGAGAAGGTGAACAATTGAAGTATTACCACAAACA